ATATATGTATGGATAACTTATGTGGTCGATGACACTGGTTGACATGGCAATTAGTTTAGATCTTTGAATGCTATATTAGTTTGTGATTGCACTGATGGATTATTTATTGCACAATCACGTCGGGGTCACCAAATGTTAAGCTATTAAGCGTTTTTAATAACTGTTGCTATTTGAAGTTAATGAAAGTCGAGAGGCTGTTTATAATTCACAATTTATTTGCATATGTAAACCAACTTATCGCGTATGTACATATGGGGATGATTGGGCGAACGATTGATGCGAGGATGTTAATCTAATAGCTGCGACGATTAGCTCAAGACTGCCCCTGCAAGGGCTGACGGGCCAAATTGCCGGGCCCTATTAGATTAGATCAGCAAGATTAGACGTGAGCGAGAGCGTATGATATCCCGAGAGCGCTAGAGCTGCTCGGGGACGCTGTTAAGCCGAGTACGAGAGATTGCGACATAAGGAGACGAAAGAATTCCGCTGCATGCGCATATGCGGTAGCAAATGATCTTTGCAGTGGGGGCATTAGAAACGACAACACCAAAATGCATTTCCTTTGGGCCGCACCACTGGCAATAATTAAAAATATTTAACCTGCTTGACCCGACCTCTTTGCATGTGTTTACACACGCAATATGTTCTCAGCAGTACTGGGAACTAGTTCCAGACCAGGGGTACTTTCTTTACTAACCCTTAACAATGCGTTTCATCATTTCCAGTTTTACCCGCATTGTCCTACGACATGGGGACCTAGTGAACTAGTGATATGGGTTCTCGTCTAGTAGCTAGTGAAATGAGTACCCATGTAGTACCTAGTGAAATGGGTACCCATGATGTAGATAGTGAAATGGGTAAACATGAAGTAAGTTATCAATCTTCATTTCATTTCATATTTAAATTTTTATTTTATTTTATAAATTTACTAATTAAGGTCTGCTGTTCGTGGTGGTACTGTTTTGAAAAAACGTTTCTTTTGCAACTGTAGGGCCTTCCTAAGCTGGACTTCAGCTGATCCAGTCCCCGTATCTACAGTTATGGCATCTATATATATAAAATACAGATATAATAGGCATACAATAAAACCAAAAAGCAAATAAGCCTACCAATCAAAACTCCAAAGAAGTTCTTTAAATTTTTCAGTGTCACTTTCCATTTTTTCATTTTCGTCGATTGTCTCTCCTATTTCGCGGCCTTCAACTTTTTCTATTTCACTGCACGACACTGTTTCTCCGCTAACACAATTATGTTTGGCTGCTTTGACTTATTATTTAAAATTCAATAATTATAATCACTTGGACAGCCGCACTGATTTGCACAAACGCACAAACGAAAACAGAAAAGGGAAAGGAGAAGAGCAGATCAGCATAACTTTTAGCTACCTGCTCTCTTCATTTTCCTCTCATGCTTTTTCGTTTCTTCGTCTACTGGTGAGACGTTGCATCCCAACCGAACTAGTTCGATGGCTGGTGCGCGGTGGGTTGTAGAGTATACAGAGCAACCTTTTTGTTTCTTCTTTGAGTGGTTCGGCGTTCGTTTGCCATAGGGTTAGTCCGGTAAGTACCCATGTAGGAACCAGCCAAATCAGTAGTTCGGGCATGGTCAATCGCCACAGACAATACTAGAGGGTAATTTCTGTTTTCTGTTGTGCCTCCAGAATATTTTAATGTATGGGTACACACGCATTCTTACTTACTTTGCGTGTGTGTGTTCTAGTATTGCTGGCCGCTAGAACTGAAATTTAAGTTTGGTTCTTGTTTTGGGTCTTTTGATGAACTGACCCACCGCCACAAAATATATGATGAATGGGCAGGGGGTGGTGGTATGGTACACTAGGGCGCGGAAAATAAAATAAAAGCTGTTATTTGTTTGATTTGCATTACAAAATATAAAATATTACAATAATATAATTATTTTTAAACAGGTTGATCATAAGTTATTAAAATTATGTATGGTTTATACATTTATAGAATACACATTTTTTATTTATTTATTATAATTAATCTGACTTTTGAGTCGACTTGATATGACTTAATGCACTTTAAGAAGCCTACAGAATTAATCATTGTGCGAAGAGCAGCGGATGATGGATACTATCCATTTCGGGGACTGTCCGTAAGGTTTTGCCGTTCCGAAAATTTCCCAGCTAGCTCCCCATCCATTTTGGATGTTCCTAAACCGCACGTTTCTATGCGATAGTTAGCCGATGGTTTTCAAATGCAACTCTGAATAATTGTCATTTACAACGAAAAATGGTATTCACTGCGAAAACGTTAAAAATGATTGTGACCAAATTAGCAAAAAACAACAACAATCATTTCCAATGGCTCGGATGCATTCAAGGCTGGCGATGAGATTGAATGCGGCAGGGCTGAGTCTTCCAGGCTGAAGTTGCAAGTGTGTGGCGAATAAATGGCAGACGACTGACAACATAACACAAATATTTGTTTGCTCTGTAAATGCTTTATTTTATGCATAATTTATTCTTTAATAATGAGATGTTTTCGGATATTATCCAGTTGGATCTGGACGGATCATGAAGCTCCAGCACCTTTTCTGGCAACAAGGGCCCCCGCCAAAGCGAGCCAAAAAAGACGACACTTCTTGCATGGCAGAGATCGCCAGAGAGCGACTCGAAGAGCATAAGGAATTTCACAGGAAGAAGGAAGAAAATTAAATGAGGAAGGAAAAGATGGTCGAGGACCTCATCAACACGCAAAAAAAAATCCAGAATGATTTATTGGAAGTGCTGAAAAATAAAAGCAAATAAGTTTATAATTTGCATTACGGTCTATACAATATTTTGCGATTGCAGATTGTATCTGTTCTGCTGACTGATTCGCATAATTTTCTGTTGAACCACGGCCGAAATAATTGCTACATCTTCATCATCCATCATTATAAGAAAAAAACGAGGGGGAACGTTGTGAGTTGCTGCGTACACCGCAACTCTACAGTTATACCCGATACTAAGTCAGTATGGCTCTCCTCCGGCAGACGCCGCTAATATTAAACGACACGACGAAGAGTGCGTGCGAGAGAGACAGAAAATCAGTCTGAGCGTGACGTCGGGCGCTGCGTAGCCAATGCAAATTGATTTGTTCCTTTTGGCTATAAAAATGATCTGATCTGATCCAGATTCAGCAATCTGACAGATTTGGTCATTATCTATGATTCTGCGTTTTTAGTTTTCTCAAATCTGCAATATTGTGGATGCAACAGATTTTCGTCCTTTGTGGGGGCGGAAGGGGGTGGGGCGAAATTTCGAGATATACGTTTTATAGTGAGATCTAACAGGAGTGCGGATACTAAATTTGGTTACTCTAGCTTTAATAGTCTCTGAGATTTGTGAATATCCCCAGATTTGCATCCTTTGCGGGGGCGGAAGGGGGTGTGGCGAAATTTTGAAACAAACTCGTCTCGGTCCGATATATTAGGAGTGTGGATACCAAATTTGGTTGCTCTAGCTTTTATAGTCTCTGAGATCTAGGCGCTAATGTTTTACTCTAAGCAAAGCCGCCTATGCTACGTGTGTGTTAGAGAGAGACAGGGCGAGAAAAAATGAAATTGTTTTCTTGATGCTGGCTATAATAATAATACGATCCAATTCAGATTCTGCAGTCTAAAAGATATGGTCATTCTCTACGATTCTGCGTTTTTGGTTTTATCGTATCTTGAAAATTGTGGATGCCACAGATTTTCGCCCTTTGTGGGGGCGGAAGTGGGCGGGGCAAAGTTTTGAAATATTTTTGTAGCAGTGACATATCACAGAAGTCTGGATCCAAAACATCGTTGCTCTAGCTCTTATAGTCTTTGAGCATTAGGCGCTGAAGGGGACGGACAGACGGACAGACGGACGGACGGACAGACGGACAGACAGACATGGCTCAATCGACTCGGCTATTGATGCTGATCAAGAATATATATACTTTATGGGGTCGGAAACGATTCCTTCTGGACGTTACACACATCCACTTTTACCACAAATCTAATATACCCCAATACTCATTTTGAGTATCGGGTATAATTAATAAATCTTCCGCGAAAATTTTGTGTACTTGTTATGAGCTGTTTTTGACGTATGGTGGATGGCTGATGTGTGAGTGTGAATCGGAGTTTCACATCTCTCAAAAATCCCACCATTCCCCCGGTATGGGCTCAGTTTGCAGAGCTTATTAGGAACATACCAGATGGATGGTGGAACAACTGGAAAATCGCGGAGTGGCAAAACCTTTCCGAACATCTCCGAAATGGAACAGCCTGGTTTGTGATTTTTAAAAGTGAATCGGAACATTTTTGTAAGAGTATAAACCCGATCCTCTCAGATATAATAAAATATGGGAATTGTGTCCGTTGTGGGCAATAACGGTTGTGGCTACCACCACGTAACTTTAGACGGCAAACAGACGTTACCGATCTGACAATTTTGAAACGTTTTTCGTATCCAAAATGTATGCATCACGTAATATGTTGATCTGTCATGTTAATGGTTATTATTTAATGCGCGTGTTGGTTTGTTTCAAGAAACTGTATATCATTGTTTATTTTAACGTGACGTATGTTAGTATTGTTTCTATGAATTTTACGTATCTCATTATAAAAGCCCTTACATAAATAAATTTTAATTTTCTCTTAAATATTTGTATTTGTTTTCAGTCAAATTTACCGTGTGATTAGAAATAAATTAGTAATATATATAAAGTTATCCAAAAACTGTACCATAATTAGTTGTTACTACTATGCAAAGAAATCTATGCGATGCCTTGACTTTACAACGACTACGAATTTTGATAAATAGTTTCAACACAACCTTGTGTAAATTTGACACTTCTGGTCACAACCGGAAATAGATTGCAGAATTTCCTTTCCTTTTCTGCTTTGGACCGAACAATACGCAATTTTCGAGATTGTACTTGAAACTGTAGAAATAACGCAACGTAAGTGTTTTTACTCGAGAGAACAGAACTTTAATCGAATTAACGAAATTTCTCACTTAGATGCCACGAGAAATAAAAGAAGTTAAAGATTTTCTTAATAAAGCACGTCGTTCAGATGCGCGTGCTGTAAAAATCAAGAAGAATCCTACGAATACTAAATTCAAGATCCGCTGCTCGCGCTTCTTGTACACGCTAGTGGTACAGGATAAGGAAAAAGCGGACAAAATTAAGCAATCTTTGCCCCCAGGATTGCAAGTCAAGGAGGTCAAGTAGTGCTTCGTTCGTATCCGCATCATCACGAGCAGTGCATAAATTCGATTTGTCTGGATTCAAATACTTCTTTAAATAAAATCGATTTTTAAAACGTACTGAAGGGAATCATTTTTAATATCAATGATATAACAATGAATTAAACGCACGTCTAACTGTGCCTTTGAGAATAATCACCATAAAGTAGAATTTGAGTGAATTTCGTATTATTTACCTTCGTTTACTTTATGATATGTACATATATGTATGTACATACATATGTATATGTATGCAATCGGTCGGACACTCTGAATTTATATCCGGCGTGCAGTAAAAATAAGACTTAAATAGTGAGAAACTAGTCTGAAAAAAACTGACCGTGTACAAATGTTGCAGCAACTAAACGTAACGTCTCGTTAGCTTTTTTTTATTTTTACGGTAATTTATTTATTGAATGTTCTTTCTTGGATACTAATGACAAGTAGATAAATCTTTATCTAATATATTTAATTATTTATTACAATTAATAATTTAGAGTACGGCCCTAACTAATAAACGCGGTTGAAGTTTAGGTGACATCCAGGGAGACAGCGTTGGTAATCCGGTTTACTAGTTGAATGGTTCGAAATTTTTTTTTTTTCGAAATCCATATTGTTGCATTGAGATTGCACTATGGGTGTGATCAGAAGACTGATAGGTTTATATGATGATGGGACTTGTCCTTTCCGGCTTTAAGGATCATTGTGATGACAGATTTCTTCCATTGTTGAGGATAGTAGCCTTGTTTCAACATGCTGTTGAATATTATCAAAGACTCTACAATACCAAGATGTTGCATGAGGAACAAATTCTTTTTCAATTTTCGTTTGACGCTTCATGGTACGGGCGCGCGGGGCTATTACTTCAATTCTCTTTTACGCTACCTTCGCCTCCGAAATTCTACTCGGCTTCGTCAATGCCTAGGTCAGCGTCGAGTCGGTGTGTCTCGAGAGAAAGAATACAAAAACAAAATATGAATCGTCTGCGTGCCGAAACCGTAGGGCAGCGTGGTCGCTGATGTCTTTGGCGCGGCACAGTGGGGACTCAGCCGAAATAGTAAAAAAATTGTATGAGTGCTTTAGATAAATTCTAATAGCGAATTTTCCAATCGAACTGTGCCGCTCCAAAGACATCGGCGATCCGCGACCACCGCTTCGACGGTGCTGAGGCTCGAGAGTCCAGCATTGCCGAACAGACGAAACCGATGGGCAGCAGGGTCGCGGTAGAGACGAAGTACAGGCGAAAAGGGAATTGAAACCCCGCGCGCTCCCTCGTGCCTTTTGGATTCTAATGTTAGGACCCGCCATAGAACAGCTTTTTGGTCGCTCATGCAACATCTTGGTATTGTATAGTCTTTGATATTATGGTAATTATTTTGTTTGGAGACATTGTCTTTAATGACTCTTATATGTATGTAACTTCTGCTTGGAATATAATAGGCGAGGTTGCTTTAAGATTATTGTTTAGTGGCAGTACCAAACTATTTGTTGCTGGATGTGGTTTGAATATATTTTCTATATGGACAGAAAATGTTTTTGCCTTCTCTTTGTCACTTTGAGCTCACTCTTCTATTTGGGTATGTAACGGTGATTCAATCTTGATTGGTAGACATACGCCAGTGGGCTTTCCACAATGGGAATCTTTTCTTGTTTGGAGAGAGTTTTTTTATATTGTATGTTTGAGGTTTTTCTCATCTATGGCTTTGCGCAGTAAATGGCTGGCTATTTTTAACCGCACCTTCGAGGCAGGTGATCTATGGGCTTCCCATTCCCGCCGAAGTCTTCTCTTATCGCGTAGCAGCTCTTCAATATGCCAGGGAACACGACTACTGTTGTGAATTTAATGGAGTGTTTTACAGCCATTAATTACATATGGAAACTTACATACATATTTAATTTACTTGAGCCTAGTTATATGTTTTGCTAGAAGATAGATAGTGTGGGCGTTTTGAGAACTGTGGATGGTCGTAAGGGTAAAGAAGGATTGGCAAGGGATCCGACGAAGGGATATAACAGCTAAATCAATCATGTCGGGTTGCATTTTTGGATCTGTTGGCCAAAATGTAGGCCTGCACGGAGAAATAAAGTCAATCTTGTTTCGAAGTGTGTGTTTACCATTATATAGTTATCTTCCTTTCGGGTTGCTGAGTCGAGATCACCAATGGGTGTGCTTGCATTGTAATCACCAGTTGCTATAAAGCGGTCACCTAATAGATCGAAGAATTTTACAAATTGTGCTTCAGAAGCGGAGAAGCCTGGTGGATTTGCGCTTTGAGTTTCGATATAAATTGATGTGGCCTTTAAATAAATTGTAGGAAATAATTGGACGTTGACATGCAATGACTGCAAGAGGCGATGCAAATACTGCACCGTCAATTGACCCGTCTGAATCCAGCAGAAGGCTCTTACGCGAGCATGCTGGAAAGATAGCTGTTAGACTATGGTCTGTCTATGTCACCCCTGATCAAGTTGTGCACAGAAATCACACCAAGCATTTTTCTACGGTTAACTAAGGATGGGTGGTTTACTAATAGCAGTCTATTAGATTAAGATGGGAGTCTCACACCCGCATCCCAGTTAAGGCAGAGAAAAGAGTAAAAAGTTGTTCTGAACTGATTATAAACGGTCCTGGTGTACTTTGTATTGAGGGCACCATACACAGGAGCTTTATTATAAGATCAGACGAACAAGCGAGGTATAGAGAGTCTTTGTTATATAGGGGTCGTCAAATTCCTGTAAACCAAGCACGCCCATGTCCTTATTTACCATGGTAGAAATGTGTTCAGAAAACTTTAACTTGGAGTCTAACATAACACCAAGATCATCCACCAGGGTAATTCACATAGGTTATAGGGAGCCAACAAGGGGCTAGATCGATGAAATGTCATAAATTTGCATTTCGAGGAATTAAGGTTTAACAAGTTTAGCAAAACTTAAATTTATTGAGATCGGATTGCAAGCGAGAATGAAATGAAATATTCTTATACTGGACACAGAGTATAACATCATCCGCATACATAAATACTTGAGAGTATGTTAATATCGAAGGCAAGTCATTAATAAACAGTGTGAAGAGTAAGGGCCCAGATGGCCGCCCTGTGGTACTCCCGAAGAAACCTTTACTGGTAAAGAGAGGGAGTTTTTGAAGAAGACTCTTTGAGACCTGGAACAAATATAGCTAGAAATCCATGTCAGGAGGTTGGGCGGAAACCCTAAAAGGTCAAGTTTATGCGCTAAAAGGGAATGGTTTACAGAGTCGAATGCTTTACTAAAGTCGGTGTAAATAACATCCGTATGATGGTATAATGATGGTACCAGATAATGCATGATGCGACGCTTGGTCAGAATTCCAATACCTCCACCAGCCAGTATATCGTCAGGATGATTTGTCGCATAGAAGTTGTAGTCATTGAGATGCAAATTATTTCTGTTTTCTCGGTGAGTCTCAAGGAAATGCAAGAGCTCGTATTTGTGCTGTAAAATGCCATTCGCATTCCAGAAAGATATATTTAGAGAAATCATTAAAGCAGATTTCTGTTTGATTATGAGCTCCAAGAGGAGATTTTGAAAAGTTCCTGCATGGTTTATTGTATTGCTACCATTGTATTTGTTATAGTTGGGATGGCTTTGCAGGAGTACATTGGACAGTAATTTCTGGTCAATGTTGCGATACCTGATGCTGCAATATTCTTGCAGCAGTTTGTTAAACCTTTGGAGAGTTTTAGAGACTGAGGCGTACGACTCGTTGATGTAACTTAACGTCTTAGCAGAAGAAACTCCTGTGGTCGAAGTTGATGGTATATACCAACATTCGAATGACTTCGAGGCTTCGAGCTGCGGTTTTGTTGGGCTAGGCGATTTTTTGTTTTTTATAGACAGCGCAACCTCTATAGTTGGCAGTGTGGTTTCCCCCGTAGCTGCTACCTTTTTTTAGGTAGATGGGTCCTCCTTATTTATGGGGCAAGGCTTGGTGAGATGTACAGCACAGCAGGCAGACTGCGCAATAAGTTTTCGTGTGGCCATATTCCAGATAATTTGTGGAATTGTTTCATTTCGTTTGAGTGGTTCATTAACGGTGTTTCTATGGTACCGTTGGTATTGGAGCTTGTAGATTGGGTGATTTTTTTTTCTATGGGCACACTATCACAGTCAGTTCTACCTTGAACATTGCACTATGGTCCAGAAGTCGATTTTTTTGGCATAAAGTCTAGTTTTAAAGCTAGAGCCTTGAAATTTTGCACAATTATTTTTTATATACGACTACGTCATTACCCCCTTCTCCTGCTCCGAAATTTAAATTACATACTTCCAATTTTATACTTCTTTGGATTGTAATGTAATGGATTGAGGAATCTATCGCTCTATAAAAAATGACAGTCACCGTTGACATGAACCGTTGGGGACATTGGGTAGGTTTGCATATATAAGCAAAAAGTTATCTCACAAAAGAACGAAATTTTTTCGAATTTATAGAATAGTTACACGAAATTGCGATTAAGATTATGTGAAAATTATTTAAAAGGGCTTCGCTAAAGTTAGTTATTTATGATAGTAGCTTAGTGTTCGCAAAAGCTCTTCTTGCCGTATTCCCATCATTGATATTGACGTTGCCATTCTGCTTTGGCATGCTTATACGCATACCCATATCTTTTCGAATCTTGTATATTTGTATATTTTCATCAACAATAATTGTTATTTTAGAAGCTATTCATTAAGCATGGGTGGTTATAATTTTTTTGCACTTCAGAAGGTTTCTTTTAATGAAGGATTAAAAATTACTGATTTTTTTTGTAATCTATTACTTGTTTCTTCATTTTTCCAATGGTTGTTATTGATTTTACTGTAAATCCAATTTGAGACAGCTTTTTTTCGGTTGTTTTTGCGCCAAATACCGATGAGATCGCTATGTAAAAATTCGAACTTTCCTGAATTGTAACAAATTTAAAGAAAAGGGGCCAAAACGGTCTAAAGTTACTCACGTAGTTAGTTTTTCTCAGCAGAACTCAGTTCATTTGTTATATTCTACAAAATACAGGGGACGCAGTTAAATTTTCAACAAAAATACACATAAATTGGATATTACACAACAATTATATCTTATACATTAGATAATACATACCTTTATCTTCATTTTCAATTTTTAGCCGAATTTATTAGAGCAAATTTACTCGATCGCCATGTAAAAATGTAAACAAGTAATTTGGCGCCAATTTTTTTCTCACAATCGGCTGATCGATTATTCACTTTCAAAAGCTTGCAAAAAGCTTCAGGGAACCTTTATATATATATTTTTTAATTTTTAATATGTATGATGAATTTACTTTGAGAATTTGTAAGAAAAAAGTAATCCATTCACATAAAACTTTCGACTTTATGTAAAAAAAAAAGAATTCTGGACCATAGTGCATTGATTAAAGAATTTTATTTGTATTTATTATGTTCATAGCCATTTTGACTGTTGATTCGATTCCATTAATAACCAATTGTAATCCTTTGCTACTTTTAAATTGTAGGTATAGTCATTCATTTTTCCATTGTTTCATTTACCCCTTTTTATGCCAATTTTCTCACTTAATTTTTTAACCAATTTTTACAGTTTGCCTGCCGCACATAAATAGGTTGGGTCTTTACTTGCTTGGTCTTCGGTGTTTGAGCGTTATCATCATTTTCGTTATTTCATTATATTTCTGAGTGACGACAGTCGACGTTCGTCTTGTTGTTGCTGCCGAGCTCGATTTTTTCTTACAGAGCTTGGGCTCTTACACGTTGGCATTGGTGTTGTCCAAGTTTTAATCTGATCGATAGCACAAGTAACCATGCGTACTGAGCGTCGTTGCGCCAGATAATTTCCGGTTAATGGCACTATATTTGTATCACGCCGCGGAGCATTATAAGAAACACGTCTGATGTTGTTACGATTCGATTGGTTAAATATGTAGCTCACAAAAATTTATGGTTAAAAGAACTTTGCAAGAGCTAACATACAACGTATCTAGCTAGCTAGACCATATGAAAGCACAACGAGCTGATGATACTGTAGAGACCAGAGGATCTAGCGCTGGTTCCGGCTTCTATTGTCCTCGGTTGGTGTCACGTCAGCTGATTGCCCTACCTTGATCATCTGTGCCGCAATACCGTATTAGTGGGCGTTGATCCCTTAAAACCATGAACACTGAGCATAAGCGAGACTCTGTTGTGGTGAGCTTATGACAATTATGGTGAGAGAGAGTACAATAATGAGCGTAATTTTGCCTAAAATGAGAGGGTCGTTCAAGTAATTCTTTCTGAATTAAAATTCAATGGTTCATAACTTAGTATTAATGAATCGAATAGTTAAGACGGTAAAGCTACACAGAGTTTGACACATCCCGGCTCCGTTGAAACGACTGTTTTCAAAACACCGGGAGAATTGCCTGCTGGTGTATTCGCCTGCAACATGTTTCATTTGCAGTGCGGAGGTGTACCACCCGTACAAGCATATTCTTCCCAAGCACAGTAGACTGGTCAGATGACCAACATACCCTCGTTGAGGTTCGTTGAGGGTGCTGTCCCTTTCGTACGTTTTGCTTCCAAAAACGTTGCTTGATGGCCTTAATCGTATCTCAGCGGTCCGTACTTGACGGCTTGAGTTTTTCTAAGGATAAGTTTTTCCCAGCTATTGTCATTTGTGTCTAACGAAAGCGGTGATAACGGGCACGAGTTGAGGAACGCTTCTATCTCGACGACGACGGTGCTCAACTCTTCAAAGGTAAACCTGGTGTTGTCCAGCGTACGATTCAACAGCCTTTTTGCACTCATGACTGCCGCTTCCCAAAGGCCTCCGAAGTGAGGTGCCCTGGGGGGAATAAAATGAAAATTAATAAAATCGGATGCGCAAAATGAATAAATTTCATCTTGGGCCTGCTTCATGAACATATAGTTTTTTAGTTCATGCTGCTGATTCGATCCCCTTACAAAGTTAGTGTCATTATCGCAGAAGATATCTGCTGGTAACTCGCGACGACTTTCCATCCGTTTCTACGTAATCAAGAACGCCTTCATTTGCCCTTGCAAATAATATACCGACAAAAATGTTTCTGTAGATTGTACCTAAATGTGATTAGTTGAATTTTTCATAGAATAATTAACACACGAGCCCCACGTCGGCAAATAGTGATCAGGCAATTGTCGATCTTTTTGCCCAATTTTTCCAAACCACCTATTCTGAGGAAAGCTACTATGGTCATCTGTACCCATACGGCTTACCGAGGTCGAACGGAATTTTCACCGGGTCCAGACGGGGTTCCAGGTTGTGTACTCAGGTGCTGCGCCGAGGAAATGTGTGGACCCTTGCTTAAAATATTCACCCTGTCCATTGATTCTTCTTGCTTCCCCCCGATCTGGAATGAATCGTTTATAATTCCTCTCCTTACAAAATGTAACAAGTCTGACACAAAAAATTATAGAGGTATAGCAAAGTTATCCGCTATTCCCAAAATGTTTGAGAAGGTATTAACTCCGCACTTGCAACATCTCTGCAAGTCTCTTATATCTCCAACTCAACATGGATTTATAAGGTGGCGATCAACCACCATGAACTTGTTAGAGTTTACCTCTTTCATTATTAAAGGCTTTCAAGGTAACTTGTACACATGTTATTTATACCGACTTTAGTAAAGCATTCGACTCTGTAAGCCATTCCCTTTTAGCGCATAAACTTGACCTTTTAGGGTTTCCGCCCAACCTCCTGAGATGGATTTCTAGCTATCTTTGTTCTAGGTCTCAAAGAGTCCTCTTCAAAAACTCTCTCTCTTTACCAGTAAAGGTTTGCCCCTTACTCTTCACACTCTTTATTAATGACTTACCTTCAGTATTAACATACTCTCGAGTACTTATGTATGCGGATGATGTTAAACTCTGTGTCCAGTACAAGGACATTTTATTTCATTCTCGCTTGCAATCCGATCTCAATAGCTTTCAGTCATGGTGTTGTGCAAACTTGTTACACCTTTTTGCCTAGAAATGCAAAGTAATGATGAATGATAATGAATGATCTTGGTGTCTTATTAGACGCAAAGTTAAAGTTTTCCGAACACATTTCTACCATGGTAAATAAGGCCATGGGCGTGCTTGGGTTTATAAAGAGGTGATCAGAAGAATTTGTCGACCGCTATATAACAAAGACTCTCTATACCTCGCTTGTTCGTCCGATCTTAGAATACGGCTCCTGTGTATGGTGCCCTCAGTACAAAGTACACCAAGACCGTATAGAATCAGTACAGAAAAACTTTTTACTCTTTGCTCTGCGGGGCCTTAACTGGGATGCGGGTGTAAGACTCCCATCTTACTCTAGTAGACTACTATTAGTAAACCTCCCATCCTTAGTTAACCGTAGAAAAATGTTTGGTGTGATATTTATGCACAACTTGATCAGGGGTGACATAGACAGCCCTGATCTGTTGAGCCGCATAAACTTCACGATTCCTATTAGACTGACTAGAAATTTTATACCATTGTTCCTTCCACTTTGTAGATCGAATTATTCCTTGCATGAACCGTTTAGGGTCTTATGCTCGGATTATAATTCCCTCTACCATATTATATCCAACACTAATTCTCTTCCTTTTATTAAATTATTAATCCTTACACACCTTTCTATTAATTAGTAACTGTAGTGGTATTTGTATTTTGATTGCATGCTTAGTTTCTTAGTAAGTTTAGTGCTTTATTAGCTTCATAAGCTTTACTCTTATATTTTTAGAAGGTATTGAGGCATTGTTTGCACTAAAACCTGTGGAAAAGTCAAACAGTCAACAGCTTCGCAGCCTAGTCTATAAGGCATCCGCTATCTTGAGCTCGTTGGAGTCAATCAGCAAACCTGAGAATATTATTCACTGTATGGTTATATTTATTGTAATGGAAAAGTGTGATCAGCACTTTCGGGACAAGTGGAAGGAATCGCAGGACTACAAAACTCTGCCAACCTAGCTAACATGCACATTGGTACGCCACTGTCAGTTTCTTCATTCGTCTGGAAACTCGGCTGGTTCTTTGGTCAAATCGTCTTTCTAATCACCAAATAAATTCGTCGTTTGCTGTCACTAATCCGTCTTGTACACTTTGTTCTAGTTCTGGCCATAAAATCACTAACTGCCCTCAGCTCAAGGCTATGAACAGCAACCAACGGTACGACAATGCAAAACGCCTCGGTCTTTGCATCAATTGTCTTGGAAGCGGTCATAGAGTGTCACAATGTTCATCGACTCATCGTTGCCGATCCTGTTCTCGGACTCATCACTCATCTTTGCATCACTCTCAGCCGCAACAGTCACCCCAATCATCAGCAGGACAATCTTCAACGACAGAACCGGTACTCCAACCAGCAACCCTCCTGACAAACGTCTGCCAGATAGTGAGATATACATGTCGAATTGGAACCTAGGATCAAATTGTTCACTTCTAAGTCAAGAGCACCAGTGAAGAAACAGTCTCCGCCGAAGCTTGAACTATGCGGTGCACTTCTACTTTCTCAGTTGCATAACAAAATCAAGGCCATATTCAGTAAACACATTTGGTTATGAATTAGTGGACTGTATAATCTTTTAATATATTGAGCTTATTTATTTACAAAAATGCTGTTCGGTTATGTCGTTGGACTCCTGCTGCCATTTCGTGCGAGGTTGCAAGGAAGCAAGGTATTCCAGACTCCAACGTTTCCAGAATCCTTGAACCTTGGCTTGCAGTTGTCTCCAACGCTGCAGTCTGTTAATGTTGACGTCTCACAAGGTAGCTGCAACTGTAAATAAAGCTAAGGGTGTTTTAGCGTTCATCAAGCGTTGGTCCAAGGAGTTTGACGACCCGTACGTTACGAAACAACTTTACATCTCGTTAGTACGTCCTATATTGGAGTATTGTTCTTGTGTGTGGAGCCCGCAGTATAAAGAACAGCAGGCTGTTATTGAATCCGTGCAAAAGCAATTTTTAATTTTTGCCCTTCGGAACTTTAACTGGGACTCAGGTAGAATCTTGCCACCCTACCGGTCTAGGCTAAATCTTATTGACCTGCCGTCGCAGAATATGCACTGGCGTAATGTTCGTGCACAAGCTCCTTCTTGGGACTGTTGACTCCCAAACTCTCTTGGGTCAGATTGACTTGGCCGTTCCATCTAGACCTACCCGTACTTTTAGGCCTATCCGTCTACCCATATGTAGGTCTAATTATGCTGATCATGAACCTTTTAGGGTTTTATGCCATAATTATAACTCCCTCTGTCAAACCCTATCCCCTGAACTGTCTCTTAAACTAATTGCATGCAATATTTATAATCATTTAAATTTAGCTAACTTTTAACTTATCTTTTTCCGCCTTTAGTAACTAAGTACCATTATTAACAGATAATTGTTAATTTAATAAATAAATAAAAAAAAAAATAATGAATAATTTAAGTTAACTTCTTTCGGCCTTGTATTGTGTTACCGTACTTTCCAGTAGCAGATAATCTTATGATTTGTACATTCATATTTTTACACAGTTTAACTGTCCATAGTTGAACTCTAAACATTAAACATTAAACATAAACATTCGCAAAGTCCAGCCGGGCATCATGGGCTAACTGCAGGAAATCCAACCTTTCAAGGCTCGTTTGAGCGGCATCGAAATCCGCATTCATTCGCTCGATTTGCTCTAAGCGAGCTTGAAGTTCTGCCTTCTTCTTGGTGAGAAAGCGATCCATGGCCTTTAGTTGGCGCGCGACGGACTCGGCCTTGTGCTTTTAGAAATCTACATCACTCGGCATTGCTGCGTTCGCGACATTGGTAGGCTCAGGTGCTGCCATGTTGAGGTTTTAAAAGAGTCACTCAGCACGACCGAAAAAAACACCCTGTATACGTATAAACGTGGGAACCGAAAGCAAAGGGATTACAGCTAATGCCTTTAGCTGTGCGGCTGTGCGAGCTGTCCGATTCCGCTTTGTACTCCGCTTGTGTGTATTAGTGAAATCGCTGCTGGGCACTGACCGAATTGTCGCGAGAGAGAAATTAATAGCCAGCAATGCGTGTATGTAGGTGTATGTAAGTATGTTTTAGCACCGAATTGTGCTTAACCGCCGAAAATTTGTTAAGGCTAACGAATGTCGATCGCGAATGATTATTAATTGACACTGCAACTCAGAGATCACGTCGGGGTCACCAAATTTTATGTGGAGATAATGTTTTTTATCCCCAATCGGCCGACTAATTATTCCAATTAAATAAAACTCGGCGCAGAAATAAAATTACGATATGTTCTTTAATGCGTGACATCCAAATTGCAAGTGTGGCTTGCCTGCCCTTTACATTGCCGCTCCGATCGCTAAGCGCAGCTTCGCTCGGCCGACGTCGGTAGGCAGACGCAAAGCGGAGATAGCGAAGAGCGAGCTGGCAGAGAGCGTTTAGCAGGGCAAGCAAGCGCAAAGCTTTAACAAACAAATGAGTGACATAGACATAAGTAACAAACAAAATAAGCAGCTGAGGGCCAAGAATTAGGTGCTATTTGGCAAGCAGCTAATCGGCTGGGTTCTGCTCCGAACAGTTCCGAAAGGCAAAAATTAAAAATTGCTTTTGCACGGATTCAATAACAGCCTGCTGCTCTTTATATTGCGGGCTCCACACACAAGAACAATAGGACAATAGGAATAAGAAATATAGGACGTACTAACGAGATGTACAGTTGTTTCGTAACGTACGGGTCGTCAAACTACTTGGACCAACGCTTGATGAACGCTAAAACACCCTTAGCTTTATTTACAGTTCCAGCTATATGGGTGTTAAAACACATCTTATGATCAAAAAGGACTCCGAGGTCATTTGAACTCGAAATTCGCTCAAGGACATGATTTCCTAAAACATATGGGACAAAATGAGGAGCACGACGGTAAAATGTCATAAGTTTGCATTTGGAAAGGTTCAGAAAAAGAAGATTAGTTGAACACCACAATAGTAGTTCCCTTAGATCAAGTTGAAGGCGTGTGTGCAAATACCAATCAGAGTAAGAAAGACAGATTTTAATATCATCAGCATACATTAGTGTAGTAGAGTATGTTATAACTTGAGGAAGGTCATTCACAAATAAAATAAACAGAAGCGGGCACAGATGACTTCCCTGTGGCACACCTGAAGTAACATTAACAGTATTTGCCAACACGTTAGAAAACAAAACACGTTGTGTACGGTTAGAGAGATAGGACAAAATCCAATCTATCAATCTGAAGTCCGTAAAAACTACATCCGTCTGTAAACCAATTTGAAAACCACGGTGGATTAGGTTAGAAAACTCAAGAAGGTTAGTCGACCTTGTTGCCGGGTAACCAGGAACTCAAGAAGCTTCGGGATGGCGGAAAGCTTTGCGATACCACGATAGTTTTTGTGAAGCCAAATGATGTAGGACTCATTCCAAATTACTGGGAGACAAGACTGTTCCAAGGAGAGGTTGAAGAGAAAGGTCAAGGGTTTGCAAAGGGACTGGGCACAGTGTTTTAAGATGCAACTTGGTACCTTATCTAGACCCGCAGAAAACGATATGTCCATAGATGACAAACCTTCCAGAACAACGCTTTCCTCGAAAAAGGGCAGAAAAATGCTGTTAGCTTGAGGTAGCTGGTACGGATACGGAGTGGATGCGTTGTAAATTTGAGACGAGTACGTTGTTTGGAAAAAGGTAGCGAATAAATTTGCAATACCAACAGCAGAAACTTCTGTTTTGTTCTGGTAATGAAGGGACGGAGGAAAACCGTTTGACTTGCGCTTAGAGTTAACGAACGAATGGAATTTTTTAGGATCACTACGAAAGTTACTACTACATTGTGAAAGGTAATGATTATAACACTGGATGGTAAGGATCTTCAGGGAGTGATATTGGGCTTGCTCTAAAAAACGAGGTCAAGAAGTCTGTCCCTAATGTTTTTAACGGCATTAATTTGGACAAGGGAAATATCCGTTAGCCCATTGATAAAGTCATTATGGCAATTGGGAAACAACAGGTTAGCGTCATCACAAGGCATCCAAGAAAGACAGGGGGGTTTTCGCACAGCCAGCAGCTAAGAAATGAATCACCAATGATTACACCACCGAATTCACATTTCTTTGCACCACAAACGATTGCCATTATTGACAGCAGTAGAATCACTGTGCACGAATAATAAAAGAACGGAGTGAGAGCGCAGGTAAAATGGGAGAGCAGACAGCAGAGCGAGCCAGACAATCAGCTGCAGCGGCAATAATTCAAAGCAGATGATCCAACGAAGTGCACAAATCGAGCAGTAAATTCACCAAAGCAGAGACACAAAAGAAAAGTCCACAGAGAGGGAGAGTATAGGCAATCCAGAGAGAGTGAAAGCAACAATGCAACAATGCCCGCTTATTCTCACGAGAGAGTGTGGGCGATGCAAACGCTGATGCGCGAGAACAGTGCACACCGAAGAAGCGATAACGAAAAGCAGACTGGGCAAAAAACAATAACAAATTGCCTGCACGAGTCCGATGCGTTACGTTGCGAATATTGAATTTATATTAAACACTTGTTTACAAACAAAACACTGGTGGTTAACACAAAGTAGAATCAAATTAATGAGATGCGATGATATATCAAAACAAAGTCACAACAGTGTTGTATGATATTTAGGCAAAGGGCGGAGAATGCGGGAGCAAGAAAAAAAACACAACCGGCTTAAGCAAGAGCTAGAAGCGAATTAGCAAGACAAATATTCAAAATGGATTGATAGACATGGATAGGGTACAGAAGAATTATCTTTCTACATCGAATAATCTATACCAGACAGTCGAGCTACTTATATGATAAATTATCCTTTGCTTCATCAAATAGAACGTTGAATCTGGTAACCATAAGGTAACCATAACAAACTTGCAAATTCAGGAAAACAATTTTTAACAAATGCTATTCGGGTATGAAACGAGTTACCTTTCAAAATTAAAAATATTAGTAGAGCAACGCAATTTAGGGAGATGTTAGGAAAACACTTGATGAACTCTTAATAAAAAATCAAATAAAAATAATAATATTAAAATTTTAAAAATTAAAATATTAATAATAAAAATATTAGTCATAATAATAAAAATATTAGTCATACTAAAAATGTTAGAATAAGAAAATCATTATGTTTAAAAGCACTGAACTATGTGTTCAGGCCAGCAGTAAACAATTTCCGCGCACTGTGCCAACTCCGTGCGTCCCGGTCCCAACTCGCTCGTAGGGGCGCTCGGATCCACAATCCACGATCCACACGGCACTCACGGCAGCAAAAGCATCATAAGGCATAGCGTTAGTTAGTTACGATTTCACCTCCGCTCCCAACAAAATACGCACACATATTTATATATAAACCACGAAACACAACGGTTTTCATTTCATATGACGGCTACATCAAAGGCGTTGTGGGAGAGTTGAGCTTCGATCCGCCCCCACTACAAACATTGGTCCTTTGAGCCGGATCTTCGCCTTCCCCATAAGGAGAAGCTCACCCCAGCCAGCATCGGCGGATCGCTCTAAGTGCAAGATAAGTACAACCCTTCGATTGTGCCCAACACCAGTGCAGTGATTTTGTGCGAGTTTTCCAT